ATATTATACACAGGGCAAATAAAAAGACCAGATTCATGTAAACAAGAAAGATACTGTATATAGTTTATACCAAATTTCAAAACAACTAGTACAACTGAACTATTCAGGCATATTTTTTTTAAATTCTAATTATTATGTAGTCTTCAAATTATTTAAAGGTAATTCTGATGGATTTGAGAGAAAGATCATAGAAAGAAGTTAGAATATTTAAGTAAACAACAGGCTAGCAGCTAACGTGTTATATTTTCTGTATTAGTACTGATCATGTAATTGTAAACAAATTGATTTCTGCTGTGGGTATAAAAACAAAAATAAAAAATATATTCTGTTACGTTTGGTCACATTTTCAAAGAGCCACTGCAGAGGGACCAAAGAGCCATAGAGGTTGCAGACTCCTGATCTAACCGGATATTTAAACAGGCCAGAACACTTCTAAAAAAAGGCATTTAAACTTACCAGCTACAACTGGAATTTCAGCTTCACCAAGCTTAGTCAGCATCTGTCAATTGCCTTGGTGCCTTGTGGGTAAAACTGGTTGGTTCATCTACAAACAGGAATCTAATAAGTTTCAGGAGGGCTTCAGGGTGCAGGAGCAGGAGGAGAGACACTTCCACAGTTACAGCTCATCCAACAACACACACACACACACACAAACACACACACACATACACACAGACACACACACAAAGTTCGGTTTCAGCATGAAAAGATATCCGACAATCCCCAGGGAGACTGCACGGTACTGTTGCCATGACGACTGGCTACTCCTGCCAGATCCAGAGTGATATTAAGATACTGTGAGAGGATGAGAGGAGAACAGAGCAGGAGCAGCGTGGGGCTGGAGGAGGAGGTGGTGGAGAGGGGAGAGAACGAACCAAACCAAAACCTAAAAACAAAGATGGAGTAATGCAGAAACAAGGAGCTCAGACACAGACGTGCTCGTGGCTGCTCTCCTCCTGTGTGTTAGTGAGGTCATGTTCTGTGGGGAAGTGAGGACATGTTTTGGGTGAAAGTGAAGACATGTTCTATGTGGAAGTCAGGACATGTTCTGTGGAAGTNGTGAGGACATGTTCTGTGGAAGTGAGGATATGTTCTGTGTGGATGTGAGGACATGTTCTGTGGATGTGAGGACATGTTCTATGTGGAAGTGAGGACATGTTCTGTGGAAGTGTGGACAAGTTCCGCGTGGATATGATGACATGTTCGATGGAAGTGAGTACATGTTCTGTGGAAGTCAGGACATGTTCTGTGTGGAAGTGAGGACATGTTCTGTGTGGACGTCAGGACATGTTCTGTGTGGAAGTGAGGACATGTTCTGTCTGGACGTGAGGACATGTTCTGTGGAAGAGAGGACATGTTCTATGTGGATGTGAGGGCATGTTCTCTGTGGAAGTGAGGACATGTTCTCTGTGGAAGTGAGGACATGTTCTGCCGTAGTGAGGACATGTTCTGTGTGGAAGTGAGGACAAATTCTGTGTGGAAGTGAGGACATGTTCTGTGTGGATGTGAGGACATGTTCTGTGGAAGTGAGAACATGTTCTGTGGAACTAGGATATGTTCTGTGTGGAAATGAGGACATGTTCTGTGTGGACGTGAAGACATGTTCCGTTGAAGTGAGGACATGTTCTGTGTGGACGTCAGGACATGTTCTGTGTGGAAGTGAGGTTATCTTCTGTGTGGCAGTGAGAACATATTCCATGGAAGTGAGGAAGTGTTCTGTGTAGAAGTGAGAACATGTTCTGTGGAAGTGAGGACATGTTCTGTGGTAGTGAAGACATGTTCTGTGTGGAAGTAAGAACATGTTCTGTGTGGATCTGAGGACATCTTCTGTGGAAGTGAGGACATGTTCTGTGTGGAAGTGAGGACATGTTCTATGTGGATTTGAGGACATGTTCTGTGTAGAAGTGAGGACATGTTCTGTGTGGAAGTGAGGATATGTTCTGTGTAGAAGTGAGGTTATGTTCAGTGTGGAAGTGAGGATATGTTCTGTGTAGAAGTGAGGATATGTTTTGTGTAGAAGTGAGGACATGTTCTGCGTGGATGTGAGGACATGTTCTGTGTGGAAGTGAGGACATGTTCTATTTGGATGTGAAAACGTTCTGTGGAAGTGAGGACAAGTTCTGCGTGGATATGAGGACATGTTCGATGGAAGTGAGTACATGTTCTGTGGAAGTTAGGACATGTTCTGTGTAGAAGTGAGGACATGTTCTGTGTAGAAGTGAGGACATGTTCTGTGGAAGTGAGGTACCTTTCTGTGGAAGTGAGGTCTTGTTTTTCTTGGAAGTGAGGACATGTTCTGTGGAAGTGAGGACAATTTCTGTGTGGAAGTGAGAACATTTTCCGTGGAAAAGAGGAAATGTTCTGTGTAGAAGTGAGAACATGTTCCGTGTAAGTGAGGACATGTTCTGTGTGGACGTCAGGACATGTTCTGTGTAGAAGTGAGGAAATGTTCTGTGTTGATGTGAGGACATGTTCTGTGTGGAAGTAAGGACATGTTCTATGTGGAAGTAAGGACATGTTCTGTGTGGTAGTGAGGACATGTTCTGTGTACAAGTGAGAACATGTTCTGTAAGGAAGTGAGGACATGTTCTGTGGAAGTGAGGACATGTTCTGTGTGGAAATGAGGACATGTTCTGCATGGAAGTGAGGATATGTTCTGTGTAGAAGTGAGGATATGTTCTGTGTGGAAGTGAGGACATGTTCTGTGT